TGGAGCGGGTGATCTGTAGCCTGCTGGTGGGGCTGCTAGTGGTGCTCCTTGTGGCTTCCGTGGTTCTTCTGCTGCCAAAAGGCACGAGCAGTCGAAGTAACGGTAAGCTTCATGAATGGCGTGGTCCTGGTGGGTGATATGGGTTTGAAAGCTCTCCGGGTTGGCTGGAGTGGGTGGTCTGTGGCCTGCTGGTGGGCTTGCTAGTAATGCTTTTGGTGGCCTCGGTGGTTCTTCTGCTGCCCAAGGCAGGAAGCAGGTCGAACAGCGGTAAGAAATCAAATTGGCGTGTGCAATTTGGTTGGGTTTGCAGCTTTTGGGAATTTTCAAAAGCAACACAAAAGGAGGGTTATTGCAGTGGGTGATCTGCAGCCACAAAATCTCCTCAAGTTACATCTGCTTGCAAAACCACTGAATCTCCTCAAATTACATCTCCACGCTGCAACATTTCTCGCAGAGAGACGTTTTTCTTCAGCAAGAAAACGGAAGCTGGTTCAGAAACGTTGATTTCGGGTATCTGTATCCATTCCCGTCCATCCCATTTTGTTTCGAAGATCATCTCTGGGAGCGTCGGAAATGCCTGCAGCAATGAATTTCAATATTTGTTGTTTCAACCTCAATATTACCCCACTTTCCCGTCCCTGTTGTTTCCACTTTCCCATTGTTTCAAACCCACGTGTAGCAGGCACATCAGCTGTTCCTGTCAGACCGTCCCAGGCAAAACTTGGAGCGGATTCGGATGTAGCAGCCGGACCAGCAGCACAGGCGGCTGTAGCAGGAGGAGAGGCCGATGCAGCAGCAGCAGCGGAATCAGCTGTAGCAGCAGCACAGGCGACACCAGAAGTGGCAGCAGCAAACGCAGCAGCAGTAGAAGCGGCCGCAGCTAGTGCGGCTGCAGCAGAAGCTGCTGCAGCAGCAGAAATGGCAGCAGATGAAGCAGCAGCCTTCTCTCAACCAGCATGGCGCTATGCCGGATCCCCAGGAGGGAAAGGAGGAACTGGCACTGGTACTGGCACAGTGAGCAAAGGAGGAGCTGGTTCTGGCACTGTGATGGCTCAAAAAGCAGGGTACCTGTTTGGGTGGGCGGGGGGAGATTTGAGTTATCGCATGGGGTGGGGTGAGGAGGACAGGGCGGCTTGGCCTGTGGTGGAGGCAGGCAGGCGAGCAGCTGAAGCTGCTGCTATGGGAGAGAAGATGGGAGGGGTGGAGGCAGAGAAGCATAGCAGGATAACACCTAGCAGCAGCGGCGGCGGCGGCAGCAGCAGCAGAAATGCTGATCCGTTTTCCTCAGGCGCGCACAGAGCAGGGGGAATTCTGGGCCGCAAGGGAGTGAAAGCCGTGGCAGCATCCGGACACACGCTAGCAGTGACAGTAGACGGATCACTCTATTCCTTCGGCCGGAACTGGGACAGCAGGAGGCGGAAAGCTGGGCAGCTGGGGCGAAAAGGGCCGTTTGGGAGGCCTGGGAGGGTGGGGGGAGTGGTGGGGCGAGTGAGGGCGGTTGCTGCTGGGAAGTTTCATTCAGTGGCTGTGACTGAAGAGGGGGTGGTGTACACGTGGGGGTGTAATGGGAGGGGGCAGCTGGGGAGACAAACGAGAAGCATGGTAAGGGGTTGTGCATGGTGTGAGCGGTTGTAGTGTGGCAGACGAGAACCATGCATGGTTTGACTCGATTCAGATTCTCCTTGGCAGTGGCAGACGAGGGGGTTGTGTGCACGTGGGCTGGGGGGGTAATGCGAGGGGGCAGGAAGGGAGACAGACGAGGAGCATGGTAAGGAGAGACGCACTACTGCTTTACACCCGCATTACTCTCTCGCCCTTTCTTCTCAGCATCAACCCTTCCTTTCACCCATGTCCTGTTTCCCAGGGAGACGGGCACGAGGCAGCACCAGTGCGGGGGGCATTGCAAAACGTGGTGGTGGTGGCGGCAGCAGCAGGGCCGCACTACTCCCTCGCCCTGTCTTCCCTACATCAACCCTTACTTTCCCCCGTCCCCCCACCTCCCAGGGCGACAGGCACGAGGCAGCACCAGTGCGGGGGGCATTGGAAAATGTGGTGGTGGTGGCGGCAGCAGCAGGGCCGCACTACTCCCTCGCCCTCTCTGCCGGGGGGCAACTCTTCACCTGGGGCCTCAACCTCTTCTCGCTCCCTGCTCCCTGGACCTACCTCCATGACCTCTGCCATACGCCTGCTGCAACTGCTTCTTCTGCTGCCACTGCTTCAGCTGCTGCCTCTGCTGCTGTTGCTTCTGGCAATATCGCCAGCAGCAGCGGTGGCTTACAGGAGGAATTGGCAGCAGCAGTGGCATTGGCTGCAGAGCCACGGAGGGTGGGAGGGGCATTGGAGGGAGAGAGGGTGGTGGAGATAGCAGCAGGGGAGGAGCACTGGCTAGCGCTCACTGATAAAGGCCATGTGTATGCGTGCAGGTGAGAGATACCGTAGAGGGTAATAGGGTGGAGGGCAGGCGATTTAGGTAAGAAGATAGCAGCAGGGGAGGAACATTGGCTTGCTCTCACGGATAAAGGCCATGTGTATGCATGCAGGTGAGAGAGAGCACTAGTTTTGAGGCGCCTCAAAACACGTGTATGCGTGCAGGTGAGAGCGTGCGACTCAAAACTTGAGTGTGGCGTGTTGAGAAGCAGACAGAGCGATAGGTGGGAAGGCTGTTGGAGAGGGAGAGAGGGTGGTGGAGATAGCAGCAGGGCAGGAGCATTGGCTTGCGCTCACTGATAAAGGCCACGTGTACGCGTGCAGGTGAGAGCACATAGGTGAGAGAGCATGGGGTGTTGAGAAGCAGACACTGCGAGTGCTGGGAAGGCTGATGGAGAGGGAGAGGGGGGCTCAGGGGAGTAAGTGCCACTGGCTTTGCATCATCTGATCGACTCAAGAGTGCTGCCTGCCTGCCTGATTACTGACTTTTGGGTCGACTCAAAAGTCAACTCGGAGAGGGGACACTCAGGTGAGTAGGTGCCACTGGCTTTGCAATGTCTGATCGACTCAAAAGTGCTTTCTGCCTGCCTGCTTACTCCTACCCGCTCTCTCCCCTCTGCAGCACCGGTTTCAACGCCAGTGGTGTTCGGATCAACCCAGCCATCCACGCCCCCCTTCTAGCCCACCATATCCCCTCCCCCTCTTCCACCTCCTCCCACACTAGCTTCTCCCTCCCCCACCGCATCACCTCTGGTCCCTTGTCTTCCGAGCGAGCATCAACCATCGGAGCAGCAGCAGGCGCATCCTTTGCTGTCGTGGCATCCTCTCAGCGGCTGCTGTCATGGGGATATGGCGTGGGGAAAAGAGGGCTAGCAGCAACAGCAGGAGCAGGAGGAGCAGCGGCAGCAGCAGGAGGCTCTGTGTTGCTGGGGCGAACAGGGGGAGCAGCGGAAGAGCCAAGTGAGGTGGTGGGAGAGGAGGAAGGGGGGGAGGGGGGAGTGAGGATGGGTGCGGTGGTGCAGGTGGTGGGGGGTGCATCATTTGTGCTTGCGAGAACCGCCACTGGACAGGTCTTTTCATGGTAAGTTGAGCTGGTATTGCCTGTGTGCTTTGCCTAGCCTAGCTTGTGATGTTGACTTCTGACTCGCATTCAGGTGGTGAGGGGTACTGATTACTCTCCTTCCCCTCCCCTCCCATCCCGCACTTTTGTCCAGGGGTCACAACAACTACCACCAGCTCGGCCGCCCGACGCCAAACTCCGCCGACCCGCTCCCCGGCCTTGTGGCCGGCCTGGCTTGTCTGCACGTGGACACTGTAGCAGCAGGGTCGCACCACGGGCTTGCTTTTGGGCGGGCGGAGCGCGGAAAGGAGTTGGAAGTGGTTGAGATGGAACAGGTGGTGAAGGAAGAGTGGGAGCGGTTGCATGGTGGGGAAGGCAACAGAGGAGGAGGAGGGGGAGGAGGAAGAGCAGGGGAAGAAGGTGGGGCAGGGGCAGGTTGGAAGAGGAGGAAGAAGAGGAGGAGGAGGAGGAGGAGGAGGAGGAGGAGGAGGAGGAGGAGGAGGAGGAGGAGGAGGAGGAGGAGGAGGAGGAGGAGGAGGAGGAGGAAAAGAAGGAGGGGGGTCGGTGTTTCCGGTGATATACAACGAGCACCACAGGGGCGAGATCATGCAGGTGGCAGGGGAGTGGTTCTCCCAGCTGCCAGCATCGGGGTTCGATCCCGCCTTCCGCAACCCCTGCTGGAAGGACGGCTCAGGGTTTCACTGCCTGCCCTACTTCCTGGTCATCGGCGCTATGAGGTACGCATTCTCTGTCTGCTCTCTGCTGTAAAAGCTCTAGCTCTGTTCTCCTCCTCTTCCCTGCTGTAAGGGCTCCAGCACTGTTCTCTCCGGTAGGGTTGTACCTCTAAGCAGGCATACCACATCACTCTACCTCTTTTCCTCTTTTGCAGCCAGGAGTGGCGCTCAGGACTATTTTCATTGGTTGACCGCATGGCCCGAATGGCTCATCGGGCTTCTGTGCTGCCTGCATGCATCTATGGTCGTTTCTGCCTTCCCTTACACACCTCTTACCCCTCTTTCATGCTACCAGGAGTGGCATGCAGGACTCTCTTCCATCGCTTGACCATGGTGCATCAGTCTGCTCTGCTTTTCTCTGCTGCCTAAATCTGTGGTCATTGTGCCCTCCTTTTCACACCTCGCCCCTCTTCCCCCACTTTCCTTTCATGCTACCAGGAGTGGCGCGCGGGACTTTTTCCATCGCTTGACCATGGTGCATCAGACTGCGCTGCTGCCTGCCTCTATGGACAACCTCGAATGGTCAGTCTTCCCTCTCTGCCCCTGAATGGTCAGTATGCCATGATCCCTCAACCGTTTCATGCCTTGCCCTTGCCCTTACCTGTACCCCTGCCCTTGCCCTTGCCCTTGCCCTTGCCCTTGCCCTTGCCCTTGCCCTTGCTCTTGCCCTTGCCCTTGCTATTTGCCCTTTCTCTTGCCCTTGCCCTTGCTATTTGCCCTTGCCCTTGCTATTTGCCCTTGCCCTTGCTATTTGCCCTTGCCCTTGCTATTTGCCCTTGCCGTTGCTATTTGCCCTTGCCCTTGCTATTTGCCCTTGCCCTTGCTATTTGCCCTGGCCTTGTTCTTGCCCTTGCCCTTGCTCTTGCCCTTGCCACTGCCCTTTTTCTTGCTCTTGCCCTTGCCCTTGCCCTCGCTATTCTCCTTTGTCGTTGTTGATCCTGTGTGGTGAAAGCAATCTGTGCTCTCTCCAGGTGGGGCATGAGGGAGCACAATCCCCTAGACTGGTCACGCACACAACAGCAATTGCAAGGGAGGTGACCCCCTCACTGCTCACCCACTAGGGCATTGTGTTCACTCTTCACTTCCCCATACATGTGTGTGCCCCTTCACCAGGTGGGACATGAGGGAGTACGACCCTCTAGACTGGTACACGAGCAAGTTCCAACCAGCAGCAGCGCACATAGCCACCCACCCAACCGCAATCGCAGGGGAGGTGACCCCCTCGCTGCTCACCCACTCAGGCATCTTAGCCCGCGGGCCTCACGCACGCCAATTCCTGCTTCCAGAGCTAATCTTCTCGCTGCTCCCGCATGCACGCTTTATTGTGCTCCTCCGCAACCCTATCGACCGGTCAGTCCGTTCCCGCCACCACATCCACACGCACACTAACATTCACACGCGCACCCACACCCACACACAATGCCATGCACGCACGCAGCTTCCTGCTCCCAGAGCTAATCTTCTCGCTGCTCCCCCGCGCGCGATTCATCGTGCTCCTCCGCAACCCCATCGACCGGTCAGTCCACATTTCTCTTGGTATTAGCTCAGGTACAGGGCGGGCGACGGGAGGAGGGCTGCACGTGCGCAGCTTCCTGCTCCCAGAGCTAATCTTCTCGCTGCTCCCCCGCGCGCGATTCATCGTGCTCCTCCGCAACCCCATCGACCGGTCAGTCCACATTTCTCTTGGTATTAGCTCAGGTACAGGGCGGGCGACGGGAGGAGGGCTGCACGTGCGCAGCTTCCTGCTCCCAGAGCTAATCTTCTCGCTGCTCCCCCGCGCGCGCTTCATTGTGCTGCTCCGCAACCCCATCGACCAGTCAGTACAATGGAGGCCATTAAATGTATGAATTGATTTACTGATGAAAACAAAAATCAAAACAAAACAAACAAACAAACAAACAACAACATGCAGAGTCCCGCTAGCAATGCATAACCCCTCGCATCGTTTCTTTTCTTTTGTTTTTGTTTTTTTACTTGTACTTCTTCTTGTGCAATCCCTACCAGTTGGTTCTCTTCCTTCCTGTCTGCTAAGCAGCAGGACGATTCTCACATCACTTTCGACAGCAGCGACAGCAGCAGCAGTGCAGCGGACGCCTTTGCGCGGCACGTAGATGCGGTGTTACCCGCAATTAAAGGGTGTATGGTGGACCATTCCCCTGTCTACTGCTCCCGCCTGCTCTTTCACTCCTTTCCCCACGTGTGTCGCAGCATGTATGCTTACTTCATCTCGGTAAGCCTCCAAGTTCCCCTTACTCTTCTGTCACTCCCTAGTCTCCCTCCTATTGCTCGTCTCTCTTATGTCTGCCGCAGCGCACAAGCCTACTTCTGATTCTCAAATCACACCTTTTTTCTTTCCTAGCCCTTCATCCATATCTTCTGCCTAGCAAAACCTCCTGCCACTCCCTTGTGGTGTCTCCTCGGCCTTTGGCAGGACTGGCTGGAAGTCTATCCTCGGAAGAACTTCCTCTTTATTAAGTTTGAGGACTATATATCAGATCCAAAACTACACCTCATTCAAGCCATGAGGTTCCTTCAAGTGCCTTCAGCAGATACAATTTCAGATGACACGTGGAAAGATGTTACGGGTCAAGCAGTCGTGGGTGCACGGGAGCAAGAGCAAGGGCAGGGGCAGGACATGCACCCTAAAACTAGAGAAGCGTTGCAGGATTTCTTTCTGCCTATCAATACAGACCTAGCCAGGTTGTTGCGGGATGGCAGTTTCTTGTGGAAATGAAAGTAATGTCTGTTGTTGTACCCGTAATATTGCTTTGCAAAAGGGTGACACTTACTCGTGAATGCAAGCAAGTGTACATCTTATTGAAACGCCACTAACGGAAACGAATCAACAGCGTGACAACTACTGGTATACTTCTAAGTAGTTGCTTAGTAAGGCGGAGGCATCCAGTCTAACAACGTCCAGTCCCCAGCAGCCTGAGGAGGCATCTAAGGACTTGAAAGACCCAGCAGCAGCACTAACGAGAGCACGAGATGTATGGCACGAATTCACACTAATCATGCTTTCCTTCTCCTGAAAACATTCTGCAGGTGCTGCTGCTGCTCCTGCTGTTCCGGCTCCTGCTGGCTCCTGCTGCCTCGGCTTCGGATCGTCTGGGTGCAAAAACTAGCGGGATTTTGGCGAATCGGTCTCAGGATTCGTGGGGGAGGGTGGTTGGTGCAGCTGTGGCATTGAAATCCCCGTTGTAGACGGATTCGTTAACAGATCCACCTGCTTCACCCCGCGTCTGAGGAGGTACTCGATACGACCGATCTCCGTCCGTCCGACCGAATTCGCAGTTCGTCTGAATTCTGACGTTAGGTACTCCCGCAAAGCCGCGGATTCCGCGGGTGGTTTCGATCTTGCTACGCGTAACAGGCGACGGTAGAGAGAGAAGATCTCGCGTTGAATGCCGGAAACCCGCATTGGAACGTGAATTGGTCTGATCTTCGACGGTCTACTCCTGTCACCTGCTGCAACATCCGCGCGTCAGACGGCGAGAATACAGATCATGTGAAGAAGGCCCAGCACAATCGACTTCTAGCGCTGACTCTTTCCTAGCTGGTCCCGCACAACAATACATACAGACGCACCAGACGTACAGACGCACCAGCCAAAGAGAGGGCAAATAGTGTGCATAAGCATTTGTGGTGTACTCGTTACAAGCCCTTAGCGAACAGGCGAAATGAGCACTCATAATCTGCAGCTAGCTGTACACCCAGTCATAACTATACGGGGTTGATTTGGACAGCTTACCGCACTGTGCCGCCTTGAACATACATGTTACCATCTAAATTACTCGTCAACATCATCCACCTCCCAAACGATCAGTATTCGCAAATCTGACGAGCCTGACAAATCCGTTTCAAATCTACCTTGTTTTAGAATAAGAACGGTTAAAGACGGTAAACCACGTTGAAGTAAGATATTGTGGGTTACAAAGTGGTTCCGACTCTGAAAAAGTCCTAACACCACGTCTTCCCACCATCTCACACCCTTTTTCCGCTTTTCACGCTCCCACTTTCATAACTAACAAGTACCACTAACTCACCGCAGAACGGCAGTTGATGGCTACATTTGCATCACCCACAGATCAACCGCTGCACTTTCCGGCCTACAGATCCCATTAAGACCAACTAAGAAATTCTCGGTTTTGAAGTTTAGCTTACAAATCGTCTATATTTATATCAAGTTTTCTGCTCCTTTCCAGTAGCGAAACCGTGATAACGCAGCGACCGCCATGTTCTGGTCAACGCGCCACGACTATCAGCCAGTCGCGACCACCACCGAAGATGGCACCGCGTCGTCCGCATCCTACGCCGGAGAATCCGGAAGCCCGTCGCGAGCCTCACCAGGAACCGTGTCGCCATCAGCGTCATCGCCGCCGCCCAAGGCGCAGCAGTGGGTGATAGTGCTCATCGCCGTATTTGGCGGGCTTGCGCTGGCGATGACCCTTGCCGCTGACGTCATGCGGGTGAAGGTGAGATGCGTACCGATGAGCCAAGAGTGACGTCACGCTTGGGAACGTTCGTTATGCACTCGCAGCCGTTCGTTACCGTTCTTTACCGATCGTGACCGCTCGCAGCCGTTCATTACCGTTCGCTTCGCATGCGACGCCATGGCTCCCTAGGCCCTCGATCGCTAGTGCAGGCACGGCGAGTGGCAATGCTGCAGTCGCCTTTGAGATTTCTCAAAAGCATCTCCGATATAGACATGCTTCTATAGGATCTTGATCGTTACGGCATGCACAGGGGCAAGTTGCAATGCTGCGATCGCCTTCGAGTATTCTCAAAAGTGCTCCCCGCTCGCTCCGGCCCGCACAGTATCCCCCCATCACCCCCCTCCCCTCACCCAATTTCCCCCTTGTTCCCCGCCAGTAGTCATCCACTCACATGCTCGGCGCACAGAACGCGCTGCACTGCATCTACCCTAGCAGCACTCCTACCCATATACCCCTCCTACTTCCTCCATTCCCCCTTTTTCCCCACGCCCTTTCCCAGCCAGCAGTCATCCACTCACATGCTCGACGCGCAGAACGCCCTTCATTGCATCTACCCCAGCAGCCCCCTACTCTCCTCACCACGCATCATCCCCCTCATATAACCCCCCCATGTCTCCCTCCCCTCACCCCCCCTCTCCCCCCGCCAGCAGTCCGCCACTCGCATGCTCGACGCACAGAACGCCCTTCACTGGATCTACCCCAGCAGCCCTCCCGCTCATATACCCCTGCCTCCCTTTCCCCTTTCCCCCACTCCCCTTTCTTTTTGCCAGCAGTCGTCCACTCACATGCTCGACGCACAGAACGCCCTGCACTGCATCTACCCCAGCAGCCCCTCGGGGGGTTATGCTGCGGCAGCGGCGCTTCTGCTGGTGGTGGCTCAGGGGTTCACTCTCCTGCACGGGGGAACGCACTGGTGCCAGGCCTCCCGCCTTGACACACGGAGGAACCGCAACCTTCTGCTCGTGGTTCTGCTTACAAATCTGTAAGTGTACCTTCTCAGGTCTCTCGGAGGCCTCCTCTGCTGCAGCAGTGCTGCTGCTGGTGGTGGCTCAGAGTTTCACTCTCCTGCATGGAGGCACCCACTGGTGCCAGGCCTCCCGTCTCGACACACGGCGGAACAGAAACCTCTTACTTGTCGTGCTCCTCACAAATCCGTAAGTATACCAATCGGGGGCCTACGCTGCTGCTGGTGGTGGCTCAGGGGTTCACTCTCTTGCACGGGGGCACCTACTTGTGCCAGGCATCTCGCCTCGACACACGGAGGAACCGCAACCTTCTGCTTATTGTGCTGCTCACCGACCTGTAAGTGTCCCTATACAACGCCCATCGTGGCACCTACACCCTCCGCTTCCCCTTCCATTTACTGTCCTCCTTCCTTCTGTCCTCCTTCCTTCTGTCTTTTCAACCTTTTCTCATTTCTGTATCCCTGCACCCATGTAAACACCCCATGGCAGGATCTTCCTCTGTGTACCATCCTAGCTCTCTCCATCTCCTCCCTAGAAAACTCCCATCTCGGTTCCTTCAACTAACTTCGTTACTTGTCCATCACCCGTACATACTCCCCATGGCAGGATCTTCCTTTGCGTCACCATCCTCGCTCTCTCTGTCTCCTCCCTAGACAACGCCCATCCGGGAACCTACGCCCTCCGCTCCTCCCCCTCCTCCGCCTCCCTCTCCCCCAACCAAACCCCCGACCCCTGTCCAGTAGCCGACTCCGCTCTCTTCCTCTCCGCCTCGCTCCTCTGCCTCTTCACCGTTCTTCTCATGGAGGCGTATTATCTCGCCGCCATGCGCACGCGGCAATACGCATGGATGGTTTCTCGTTATTGCACCGTACGCTCGGTGCATCTGGAGGCGTTTCAGCGCGAGGCCATGCGTGCAAGCGTTGTGCCGGTCGGATCGCCGCGATCGGATTTAGAAGCAGGAGAGGAGATCAAGGAGGCCTAACAGTTTCTAGCACCACACCAGTGATTTATCTTGAAATTTACGAGAATACGCTTGCACCCGTAGCACATTGCTAGCTTACGAAAGTGTACCAATGATATTACCTGTGTATTGCCTGGATGGACGATCTCCTGCTATTGCACCATTCGCTCAGTGCATCTGGAGGCGTTTCAGGCCGAGGCCATGCGGGCACGCATCGTGCTGGTCGGAGTGTCGAGATCAGATAGAAGCTGGTAACACTGTCCAGTACTGGTAGTTGTTTACAGACTCCAGCAAAATCCAAGCCTTTTTATGGTGTTCTTCATGCAGAGTGTACCTTACTTGAAACTGGTACCGTATGCAGCTCCTGCTTTCATGAGAACAGGTGGCTTTCAATTGAAATAGTAGGACATCACATGACAGTACATGTAGTAGATTGCAGGTCTCACATTTTCCAGGTTGCATATACTTTCACAACTCAGGCAATCAACAGAAAAACAATGCTAGGAGACGCCTCCTCTGCTGGCAAGTAACATCTGTAAGGCAGGGAACAGTAAGAGGGAAGTGTGGAGTGGGGGAGAGATGCGAGGTGAGTTGGTGTAAGCGGGGAAATGGCAGAGGAGGATGAGGGCTGGGTGGGGTGAAATATGAGGGGTGAGCACGGGTGGAGAGGATGGGGGATGGGGGGTGGGTGGGAGAAAATGGGGGGTGAATGGGAAGGGAAAGGAGGAGTGAGCGAGAAAAAGGAGGGGTGCGTGGGAAGGGAAAGGAGGGGTGAGTGGGAAGGGAAAAGAGGGGTGAGTGGAGGAGGGAGGAGAGGGGGGGAGAGCAGATGAGGGGTGAATGGAGGCCGGGGTGCGGAGATGAGGGGAGAGCGGAGCAGGGAATGAAGGGGGGGAGGGGGGTGGGAGAGGATGACGGGAGATCAAAAGAAAAATGAGGGGTGGGTGGGGGACACGAGAAGAGGGGAGAATGGGGAGATGATGGGAGGACTGGAAGGCGAGATGAGAGGAGAGCGGGGTAAGTGGAGGGGAATGCGGAGCGGAGATGAGGGGTGACGAGTAAGAAGATGAGGAAGGAGCGGGGAAGGAGCAGGGGGGATGATGGAAAAGCGGGGGGGAGGAGAGAGGAGGGGGGGGAACATGTGGGAAGAGCGGGAGGAGATGAGGAATGTCCCCCCCACCCAACTGCACCCCACACCACATCCCTCCTCCCCATCTCTACCCACCTCCCCCCTCCTCAACCCCACCACCCCACCCCCTCCTCCTCCACTCCCCTCCCCCCTTCCCCCGCTCGCCACCCCAACCCCACCCCAGATACATTTCCCCTTCTCACCTTTCTACCGACTTGCCTGGTAGCCGACCTGCATCCGCTTAGTCACCGCCTTTGACGCTTGACTTGCCTAACGCCATCCAATCGTCGGCAGCGTCGAATCTAACGGGTGCGAACCGAAGCTACTAATGCGCCCGTATCGAAAGTGTCTGTGAATCTACGGTGGCCGCCAGATCATAGTTAACTAATCCGTCCGAAATGTGTCCACTAATCGATGTTACTAACCGTTCCAAACGTTACTACTCCAGCCGCACTGATAAGTTCGAAAGAATTGTGCGACTACTGGCTACCTCATGCAATATGAAGTGCGCAACTGTCGGTAACCATTTCACTAAGATCTGAACATGGTAAGAGTTACTGGCGGTACTTACATCATTACGTGAAGCGACTACTACAGAACTACGCATGATTCCAGCGACTGACACTATCTACAGTATACGCCTTGGGTTAACTTAGATATGACGAAATAGCACCAAGAAGCGACAGTGGTCCGCCTAGATGTACTAAGAAGGAAAGAATACAAGTAACGGGCATTGCTCAACTAGTAGTAGGAAGGAAGGAATAAAGGAAGACGTGAGGTGGTGGTTGAAAGGCGAACGTGGTTGTACGATGGGGCGAAGCACCCTCGACTCCTATTGGGTCGCGTGACCGTTTGTCTCAACCACACCTAGCTATTTCAACTGCCCGAACCTGGTTCAAAGGTTCACTCGCAGCCAAGGGGATTCCGAGAGCAGCTAAACTTCGGGAGGTTTTTAGCCAAACACATTTCTTACCCCGTTCTACACCACACGATCCCGCGCCTCACGTGGGCCTCACTAAGTAAAACTCATGGTGCCTTACTAGGAGAGGGTGCCACGTCAGTTTCCTCCTAAAAGGTTCGTGCCTGCCCCAGCCCCAAGCCTGGCGTGCGCACCAAACCCAACCGCCTATACTCGCCCAAAGAAAACTCGTTTGCAGCAACACAATGCAAACCAAACTGAACAGAATTCTCAACTGAAAGTTGAAGTGTTCAGATCGTATTGCAATGGAGTTTGGAATGTTATGTACTGTACACACCTTAGTTGCCCCAGAATTTCCCAGCATTCTCCGCTGACATTACCCATGCGGGCTCCCACGAGTCACGATTGACGGCAACAGCGATCATCCCTTGAGAAAATCTTCACCATACAGTAGCGGCTCCATCCACAGCTCGAAACCATCTTCACCGTTGACGGAGGCTATGGGAGTCCAGCGCATCCTTTCAACAAAACCAACCAATGCCAGCCCTTCCCGCACTTCACACAGAAAAAGCTGCCGCGTCGCACCCCACTGCACCCAGCAGCACATCACTTTTTGAATTCAGGGCGCGCTCTGCCGCGCGAGGCGGCGTGCGCCCAACACCATTCTCGAACAGACAATCTCCTGACTGACTGACTACGCTCGAATGGATGGTCAGTCACTCGAGTCCCGAGTCCCGAGTCCACCGCAATCTTTCCTTCTGCACGGTTTTCCTCTCAGCAATGACGTCAGCGTTTCATGGGAGGAGCTTACAAAGACTACTCCAGAATGAATTCATTTTCGCATTCCTTCGAAATTCCATTATGGAATCTCAACGGAAGCTCTTCCTAACACGACTCTAACCTACAAGCTTCACAGAGCAGTCCGAGCTCTATGAAGCCTCCCGGCTAGTACAAGTGGATATACCAGGCACGCGCAGCTGGGTGGTTGGGGTGGGTGGGTAGCTTAGATAACGCTGCTGCTGCCTCGGTTTGAAGCTTGTACGATGCCGGAGGTATTCGCGGCGTGATACTTCACCGCGATTACTTGGAACCTCCACTGCAGCTTGAGATACTAACTTCAAGAATGAAATGCGGAATGGCAAATCCGCTTTATTTCCGACCAATATTCCGCCTTTGATGGCGGCTCAAGACCTCGTCATTTGGGAAGCGCGCTGTGGCCGCTTCCCCGCCAAACGGAAGACGCCTGAGGTAAGCTCGGTTGATCTCGTATTTTCCCGTTTATGTTTCTTTTCGGATAATCTGGTCTATTTTTTTTGTCGTGTCCCCTGCAGGCGTCTTTCATGAGATCAACCTCGAAGAAATGAAACTAGAAGAAGTCACTCAAGACCTCCTTGTGTGGCCGTCATCTCAAGACCCCCTTGTGTGGCCGTCATCTCGAGACCTCCTTGTGTGGCCGTCATCTAAAGACCTCCTTGTGTGGCCGTCATCTCAAGACCCCCTGTGTGGCCGTCATCTCGAGACCTCCTTGTGTGGCCGTCATCTCAAGACCTCCTTGTGTGGCCGTCATCTCAAGACCCCCTGTGTGGCCGTCATCTCGAGACCTCCTTGTGTGGCCGTCATCCCGAGGCCTCCTTGTGTGGCCGTCATCTCAAGACCTCCTTGTGTGGCCGTCATCTCAAGACCCCTCCCGTGTGGGACCTCCCCGTGTGACCTCTCTCTCTCGCCGCGAGATCCTCTTCTCTCTCTCACCGCGAGATCCTCTTCTCTCTCTCTCGCCGCGAGATCCTCTTCTCTCTCTCGCCGCGAGATCCTCTTCTCTCTCTCGCCGCGGGATCCTCTTCTCTCTCTCGCCGCGAGATCCTCTTCTCTCTCTCGCCGCGAGATCCTCTTCTCTCTCTCGCCGCGAGATCCTCTTCTCTCTCACCGCGAGATCCTCTTCTCTCTCGCCGCGAGATCCTCTTCTCTCTCTCGCCGCGAGATCCTCTTCTCTCTCTCGCCGCGAGATCCTCTTCTCTCTCTCGCCGCGGGATCCTCTTCTCTCTCTCGCCGCGAGATCCTCTTCTCTCTCTCGCCGCGAGGCCCTCTTCTCTCTCGCCGCGAGGCCCTCTTCTCTCTCGCCGCGAGGTCCTATTCCAGTGTGGGTCCCCTTCCCTTGTGGTTCTTCTCATCCCGTGTGTGCCATCCATGAGGTAAGTTGCGGCGACCTTGGCGCTTCACGTGGCTCCGATGGCTTCCATGAGGTAAGTCCCATGTGGTTTCCTCCTTGCGACGGCGCTTCACGTGGAGCCGACGGCAACTTGATGGTTTGACCGTCGCTAGTGGAGCTTCGGTTTCAGCCTGGTAAGGCACCCGCTTTATTTCTTTTCGTCGCTTTGATGTTCCTCGCTTTACGTCCAAGTTGCTAACCTTTTTCGTTGTTATTTGCAGTAAAAGAAAGCGGACCGTTCGATGGAGCTTCACACCGCGATTGGCGACGCTTCTCCCGTCGCTCGGCAGTTGGCGACGCTTCTCTCGTCGCTCGGTGGTTGGCGACGCTTCTCCCGTCTTGCGGCGCTTCGTGCGGCTCTCGGCGACGCGTCTCGTCGCATGGCGGCACTTCTCTTTTTCGTCATCGATTTTTTCTCGTTTATTGTTGCTTTCTGTTTCGCTTTGTTTTCTCATGGTTCTGACCGTGCTCCTTGTTACCTGCAGTTAGTGTAGCGGCATGTTTGACACGGCGCATCGCTCGGCGGTTGGCGACCCTTCTCTCGTCGCTCGGCGGTTGGCGACCCTTCTCTCGTCGCTCGGCGGTTGGCGACCCTCCTCTCGACGCGCGGCCCTTCGCACGGCGGTTGGCGGCTCTTCTTCAACCACCCTCCCTGGTAAGGTGTTCTTTCAATTTTACTTCATTGTTTCTTCAAAATCACTAACTATTTCTGTTTACCTTTGTAGCAGGAGCAGTAGCGGGACCGGGAGCGGGAACGGCAGCAACTTTTATCATGGTAAGTTGTCGTTTCAGTTATGATTGTTTTTTCATTGCTTATTACTAACATTCTCTGCTTGCCCTTGTAGCAGGCACAGGAGCACGAACGGAAGCAAGAGCGGGTAGGGGGACGGCAGCAACAACTTTAAGGTGAGATGTCGTTTCAGTTTTGGTAGTTATTTTTCTTCACTATTACTAATTCATTCTGCTTGCCCTTGTAGCAGGATCAGGAGCACGAACAGGAGCAGGAGCCGGGGGGGGACGGCGGCTCGCGTCTCATATTTCCTAGCGTTTAACAATTGGTTGAGAATGCACGTCCGCGATTGGTTTCGGCGGAAATGTACCCTCGTCGTCTCAGATTTTGAGATTCGCCAACAAGTCACTGAAACCAACAAAGTGTTTAACACACCCAAGTGTAAAACAGAAAAATATATGAGACGGAGAGCTCGCGTCTCATATTTTTTCCCGTTTTACACTCGGGAGCGTTTAACACTTCGTTGGCCTCCTTGACTTGTTGACAAATGACATAATCTGTGACGAGCTGGGGTGCGTTTTTGGCGGAACCAATCATGGACGTTCAAACCCAACCAATTGTTTAACGCTTGTAAATACGAGGCGCGAGGAGCAGACGACAACTTTAAGGTGAAATGTCGTTTCTGTTTTTGTAGATTTTTTATTCTCTCTTACTAATTCATTTCGTTTGCCCTTGTAGCAGGATCCGCGATGAGCGACGGCGGAACGACGGTGGCGCGGACCGACGGCGGAGCAGCGATGGAACGGCGAGCGGCGGCAGAGCAGAGAGCGGCGGCGTGGCGATGGAACGGAGCGGCGGATCGGCGGACATCGGAGGAAAGGAGCGGCGGAGCTGCGCTGGAGTTTGACTCCTTCCCCAACCCCCCTCCCCCGTTCCCCCTCCCTTTGTCAGGCATTCGGGTGTTGTCATCTAGGACGATTAGGAGCGTTAGATTAAGGGAGCTAGTGGGTGGGGTGGGTTGCGTTTACCTCCTCCTCCTCTTCCCTCTCCTCAACGGCCGTCTTCACTGCTGCTGCTCAACCTGACAACGGAAGAGAGATCTTCCTGAGGCGTCGCTCTCATCTCAAATTAACCCGAAATTATCGTCTTTTTTCCCGAAATTATCGTCCCTCCCCTCCCACAGGTGCCCCGAACGAATGACCCTCACCTCAACGCGGTGTTCGGGTGTAACGCTAGAGGCATTTGCCTCTAGCGGCCAAGAAGGGTCAAGGGTAAGTGGAGCTCAAGCGGCGGCGGTTCTGCGGAGGAAGTGTTTCAAGACTTGGCGATGTTCAAGCGGCGGCGATTCAACACTTCTGTCAGAGTGCTGGGAGAGCTGAATTCGCGGTGAACGAGCGAGCTGTGGAATGAAGCGGCGGCGGATCTGCGGAGGAAGGAGTTTAACGCATAGCTATTTAATCTGGACTTGTATGTCTTGTGTTATATGATTCAAATGTTGGTTACCATGAAGTTTTATTAAAGATTCGGCACAAACCATTGTATAAACAGTAGTTCAATGGGCACAGGTCGCCACACGCGGCACAGCACGCCTGAGATTCGAATATAATGCGTTGCTTGTGCAGTGAGGCGCGACGCGGAACTATTGTGCTAGAGCGCGGGGAGTAACAAGGTCAGAGGTTGAATGGATGACTGTCGAGTCATGTCAGAGGTTGGGAGGGGATTTGCAGCTTGACAGGTGTGCAACAAACCTGATACAATCTGAGCAGTTTATACAATTTGCTTTGCATTGTATATTGTAAACGAGCCATTTCAAGGCGAGTCTCGCTGGTTGATGGGCTTCGTGGGCACCGTCGTAGGTTTGGGCAGTTCTAGCTTATGTGACTTGTTTTGTTTGCGTAAGGTGCGGTGCGGAATGCTAGGAACTGGTTGGAAATATTTTTTTTGCTTAGTTGTCAAGAAGTTGCTTTCCCAACTCCCTTTGCTGCCTCTGAGCCAGGTTCGGGCAGCTGAAATATCGAGAGGTGGATGAGATAAAAATCAGGATAGCCAATAGGGATTGAGGGTGATTTGGTGCACTGTCGCACAGCCACCAATCTTTACCGACCGGCACCTCACACCTTTCTTCAGTTCCGTCATGCACAATGCACACCTGTCAATCGTCATTTCTACCGTTCTAGGTCTTCGATCTTCGTTAGATCTAAGCGCTACGCGCTTTACCTTCGCTTCTTGCTTCTTATCCCGCATGTCTTATCGGAACTAAGCGTAAATATAGTCTTAACACCGTAGTTGGTGAGTGTCGCGGTTATAAGCCGTAAACTTATATTCGCCGCTTCACCTCGCGTTACCGCCAGCTATACGATTTTAGTTGCGGACGGAATAGTAGTATCGACCTGCGAGCACTTAGATCCGTATGCACTTACCATGCGGACGCGTTAACGCTTCGGTCCATAGGCGCGTGATAACCGTCGGTAATGGAACCTATTCCATGTCGTTAAGTGATTAAGCACATTGAAACGGACTGTTACCTCGCAAGACGGTAAAACAAGGCAAAGGTGAGCAGTAAGGGAGCTTGCGGGGTGGGGGAGGAGGGAGGAGAGGGGTAGTGGCGGGGTGTGGTTGGGAGTGGTTGGGTGGGGAGGGCATCTCTCATCTTCTCCCACTCTCTCCTCGTTCCCCCAGCTCCGTCCCATCTATTTCCGCTCCTTCCTTATCTCCTTACCGCTTACCGCCATTCTCCTTCCCCGCTTTCATTCGTCTCCTTTCTGCTCACCCCTCATGTCCGCTCTGCTCGTTGCTCAATTCTCCCCTCCCTCCCCTCTCCCCCCTTCCCCCCCTCCTCCCCCCTCCTCCCTGCTTTCAATTTCGTCTCCTTACCGCTCACCACGCAGGTCCCCTCTGTTCTTAGGTGATTTCGCCCTGTTCTCCCCTCGTCCGCACCCCTCTGTAAGCCCGACTCCCCTCCGCTCTCCTCTCAGTTCACCCCTTTCTTTTCTCTACCTCCCACCTCATTCTCCCCTTCACTCATTCCGTGTCCCCTTCCTGCTCTTCCCGCATCTCCCCCAGCTCTTTCCGTATCTTCCCCAGATCCTTCCGCATCCCCCCCAGCTCTTTCCGTATCTTCCCCAGATCCTTCCGCATCCCCCCCAGCTCTTTCCGCATTTTCCACATCTCCCGCCCACTCACCCTTCTTCCCTCCGCTCTCCCATCTCCCCACCGCACCCCTCACTGCCCTTACTCTCCCCCTTTAACTCTTTCGTCCCCCCCACGCCTCACCCAATTATATTAACTTCCCCTCTCCCTTCCCTGCCCTTCCCCGCCTTCCGCTCTCCCCGCATTTCCCCCTTCCGTTCACCCTTTATTCCCCCCCTGCTTGCTCGATCCTTTCTTTTATTCAGGAAGTCAACCTTGAATCAAGCGCGCGTGTGCTGCTGCTGTCCCTTCCCAGAGACCCCAATGGGGCATCAGATGGCGGGTCGCTGACAGCTGGAAACCGTTTGCGAAGGAGCTGAGCCGCACCGATTTTAATCAAGCACGCGTGGTGGTCAGGCGCGTGTGCTGCTGCTGTCCCTTCCCAGAGACTCCAATGGGGCATCAGATGGCGGGAGGGAGACGGGAGGCGGTGCATCGGGAGGCGGGAGGCGTGCCTGTAGGCTGCTGACACCTGACGCCTGGAAACCGTTCTCAAACGAGCTGAACCGCACCGATTTGTGCTCGTGTATACCACGGCCAGGAAGCTTCTTACTTCAGGCAGCAGCATCGTCAGGTCAGGGCGAGCGGGTTGCAGGCGGCTGGAGATTGTTTTCATGTTGCTGACGAGCTGAAGGCACATTGAAAGGGACCATTGCCTCGCACGACAGTAAAACAAGAAAAAGGTGAGCAGTAAAGGAGTGGGGAGGAGTGGGGAGAGGGGGTGTGGCGGGGTGTGGTTGGGTGTTGTTGGGTGGAGAGGGCATCTCTCATCTTCTCTGATCTCTCCTCGTTCCCCCCGCTCTTCCCCTCCCCTACTCCCCTCTCTCCCCCCCCCCCCCCGCCCATCTCTCTCTGCTCCTTCCTCGTCTCCTTACCGCTCAACCCTCAACTCCCCTCTGGTTTTCGCTCCTTTCTCCCCGCTCTCGCGCTTCCCCCCCTCCTCCCTCTCCGCTTTCATCGCATCTCCTTGCCACTCACCCCCAGGTCCTCAGCTGTTCCTCAATTCTCCCCCCCCCCCCTCCTCCCCCCCTCCCCCAACCCCCCTCTCCTCCTCCCTAGCCGCAGCAGCATCGTCAAGAGCAGAGCATGGCACCAAGAGCCCTGTGCAAACAGAAGCCCATGGCATCATGAAGGAGCAGAGCATGCCATATCAGCAGAAGCACAGCATCATGACATGCCCTTAGATCATACCCTCAGATGCAACTTCACATACCGGTAGCCCAGGGCCAGGTGCAAACAGAAGCCTCAAATACACGCCCACAAAGCCCATAGCCAGGGAGTGCCTGGAGCACAGCATATTGCCATGCCCTTAGGTCATTGCTTGAAATACAACTCCAAATCCGTAGCCACATATAAACAGAAGCAGCACCATGCCATGCTCTTAGGTCATAGTCTCCAATGCAACTCCACAGAGCCTACGGCCAGGAACTATCAGCAGCACAGCATCATGCCATGCCGTTTCCATTCTGTACTGTTTCCAGGAGGCCTGTAGTCATGCATGCAACATAGGAGGGCAGAATCAGAAGGCTCAGGTTGCCGGGTCGTGGATAATTTTTTTCAAATACAAGTCCACAAAGCCCATAGCCAAACATCAGCACCTCCTTATACATTCTGTCTGTTCTTTTCCCAGGAAGCCTGCTGCAGTCATTCTGGTATGGTTTCATGATGTAGTCATACTACTGGTATGAAATCAAGCATCTTGTGTCATTGCCTTTCAAATACGGTACGACTCCACTAAGCCAAGGGCCACGTACAGACAACAGGAGCACCATGACCATTCCATTCTGCTCTTTCCTGAAACCTCCCATCACACAATACAGGAGGGCATTAGGGAAACACTCAGCTCACCAAGAAACCACTGGCTATTTTCTGCAAATTACTGGAACAGAACACTGCATTGTCTCAAGTCTGCCGCAATACAGTGTAGCCTAACACAACCACCAACAGAATGCTGCTGATCAACTATCCTCATCAACAACATCACATCATCTGCCCCATCTCCTTTGTCTGCCACTTCCCAACTGCAGCAGCAACTGCTTGGCAGATTGTACCATGACTAACATAACCAATTTACTGCAGCTAATCAGCCATCCTCTCCCAATCATCCACATCAACATCACCTCCCCCATCCTCTGCCACATCACCAACCGCAGCAAGACCTGCAGCAGGTGCAGGTGCAGGCCCAGGTGCAGGTGCAGGTGCAGATGCAGGTGCAGCAGGAGCAAGAACAGAAGCAGGAGCAGCTGAAGGGGGGGAGGATGCTGCAGCATCGGCCGCACCAGCAGCGCCATCATCACCCCCCCATGCCTCGTCCAACAATGCATGCCCAACCCCCGTTTTAATCACAGCTGCACCCCCCCCTCCTCTCCCCCACGCCCCTCCAGCAATCCCACCCGCCCCAGATCCACCTCCCCCACCTCCCACCCCTCCTGCTCCCCAACCCCTACCCGCACCTGTACCGACAGGCCCGGCCGAACCTCTCCCGCCCCAAGCCGCTGAACCACCGCCTCCAGCACCCATACCTCCAGATCCACCTGCCCCAGACAAAACCCATGACCCTTGCTGCTGCCGCCATTGCTGCTGCTGCCCCTGCTGCTGCCCCTGCTGCCCCTGTCCCTGCTGCCCCTGCCCCTGCTGCAGTTGATACACACTCCCACGAGCAACAGCACCCCAGAACGGCCTCGCATGGTCCAAAAACCTCATAGCTGTTCCTGCTCGGCCCGGGTCCTCAAACACAGCCACGGCGTTCCGATCGTCGATCCAAACGAGCTCACACTCCCCTCCGAACCTCACCAGCTGGCTGGCCACATTGGAGTCTCTGGGAAGGGAGATCAGCGCCACCACACGAGCCGGGTTGAGATCGATTTCCGGGTCGAACGGCGGGGCAGGAGCAGTGAGAGATGGCGAATACCCGGGACCTAACGGCACTAGGTTGCTCCCAATGCTGCTGCTGCTGCTGCTGCTGCTGGTGCCGGTCGGGAGAGGAAGCTTCCGGGTAGGAGCGCGAGACTTGGACGTGGTATACACGAGGGTGAATCGGTGCGGTTCGGCTCCCTTGGAAACGGTTTCAAGGCGCCAGCGACCCGCCATCTGATGCACCGCCTCCCGCCTCTCTCTGCCCATCGGCCTGAAAATATGCAGACGAACACTGTCCCTCGGCCACCCAGTTGCTACAGCTGCTGCTGCTGCTCCTGCGGCCGCTACTGCTGCTGATGCTGCTGTTCCTGGTGGGGTTTTGGAGGTGGGTCCAAGGACTAGATACTGTAAGCGGCCTTCTATATCTGCTGCCCAACAGGGGTCAGCTCGAATAATCTCCATTACCGATTGAGACAACTCCCCACTGGTACCAACACCACAACCAACGGTACTGCTGCTGCTGCTGCTGATGCCGCTCCTGGTGTTGCTGCTGCTGGTACTGTCACGGCCATCCCAAATACTGCTACTGGTGCCGGTGCTGCTGCCAATACCCCCCTCTGCTGCACCGGCCAAGGGATGGAATGCCTCTGCCAGAATTTTCCGCTTCTGAATCTTCTCACACTCCTCATTGCATGCCAGCTTGCACTGCCCGGGCGGAAACTTTCTCGCTGCCCGGCCTCCGCCGCCGCCCGCCACGTCCACCGGCTGAACCAGAGCAGTCGGCAGCCCGGGCAGGATGAGATTCCCAGTCAGCCAATCGGAATCTTTCCCGCCTGCCCCGCAGGGGACTCGGGCGGAAAGACGGCCGCAGGCGCAAGTGATGGTGGCAGGGGTGGTGCAGCGGGTATCGGGGCAGGGGGAACTGATGTGACAGGTGGATGTGCAGGTGTGTTGGCATTCCCTCCTGGGAGCACCGCAGGGCTGACCACAGGAGAGAGGGCCAGTGATTCGCTGCTGCTGCTGCTGCTGCTGCTGCTGCTCCTGCTGCTGCTCCTGCTGCTGATCCTGTTTGCTCGCACCGCTTTCTGATAAATCCTCACCAGCAGTAACAGAAGCAGCACCAGCAGCAGCAGTATCAGCCGCAGCAGTAAGTGAAGGCCCCCCTGGTTCATCACACGGCCCCACGTGGCACAGCTTCAAGCAAGCATGCACCCCACACTGCCTCCTCTTCCCACACACATTACTGCACCGGATATCCTTACTGCCGCACGGCACCCCTCTCAACACCACGTGACCGCCCACGCACTCCTTCGCCACCGCCGAGGAACACGGCGGACAATCCCCGAAATGGCAGGGGTGATCCGGATCGTGCCCGCAATCCCTCGCTTTGGAGCAAGGCTGGGAGCAGGAGGGAGGGGAGGTGCCGCAGGGGACAGGCGGAGGAATAAAGGAAGAGCCACAGGAGCAGGAAACTTCGGTAAAAGAAGCTTCTAGACACGGCGGGCAGTGGCCGGAATGGCAAAGCTCCATGCAGGAGTGCTTGCCGCAACGAAGCTTTTTTCCGCAGACGAGCATGCAGAGATGAGGGTCTGTGTCGGATGCGGCGGGTGGTGCTTTGTTTTTAGGGTTTTTCGGGCAGCAGCTGGTGTTGCAGCGGTGCCGCCCGCAGTTCTTCTTGGCGTTACACTTGCGGTTACAACGGAAAAGCTCCTCTGTGTCAACTCCCTCGGCTGCTACCGTCGCCGCTGCAGCAGATTCCCCGCCTGTAACACCCTCACTCATGCCACCACCAGCACCAGCAGCACTACCAGCAGCACTGCCGCTAGCAGAAACCCCATCCCCTGAACCCTTCCCTTGAGAAATCAACGTTTTATAACACGGCACTGTTCTGACGGACTCCCCACACGCGCACCGCTGCTCCACAGGCTTCTCACAGGGAGGACACTCGCCCACGTGGCAAACACTGCCACACACGTGCTGGCCACACGCCAGGAGCTTGCCACACACGCTGCCACACGTGGGTATGGGGTCTAGGCACGAGGTGCGCTGTTTTTTCGCCTGCCCGGGTATCTGGAGGAGGGCTGCGATTGGCTGCTTGCCGCACGGGCAGGTGTGAACAATGGAGGGCGAAAATTGACAGTCACCACATGAGGAATCGGCATTGGGGCTGCTGCTGTTGCTGGCATTGCTGTTGCTGCTGTGGCAGCGCTTCTGACAGTGGTGGTTACCACACGGAAGCAGCTTGCTACAAACAGTTTCGCAGGAAAATGCACCTTTGACAAGGTAAACCCCGCTGCTGCCGGTTGTGCTGCTGCTGCTGGTAATAATGTTGCTCTCTTCCGGGGAAGAGACAAGAGGGGTGGGAAGAGGAGGAGTATCAGCAGGAGTAGGAGGGGAGACAAGAGGAGGGTTACTTGGTAACAGACTAGAACACCGTCTCTGCTGCTCCTCCTTCCCACACACACACTGTGCCACCACTACCTCCTCACACTCCCCACACTCCCCCTCGTGACACACCTTCCCACACACGTGCCTGCCACACCTCAGCACCGCATTACACCGCTCTCCACATGACACGCCCCCAGGCTTCGCAGCAGCCTCGCTACACCGCCTCTGGAACCGCCGTCCCCCACAAAAGCACGACTCGGTATTAGCCATAGCGCTGCAAGGCGGACAGGGCCCCGGGTGGCAGATCAGCGTGCACGAATGGGGGCAGGACGAACCGGGTAACCCTAGTGGCTTATGGCAGGTTTCGCCACAGGAATGGGGGACCAGGTAGGGATCGAACTGGGGATCTTCCCGTTGCCCACAAAAGCAGAAGTAGCGGAGTTGAGAGGGAGGGGTTAACTGAACAGCCTGGCAACCGGGACACCTCCATCCTTCGCCTCCCGCCCCTCCCGCTCCCCCTGATCCTGCCGCTGCCACTCCCGCTCCTCCTGCTGTATTTTGACTCGCGCTCGCGCTTCCCCCCACGCCTCCCCCCGCGCCTCCTCCCGCGCCCGCGCCCGCGCCCGCGTTCGCCGCGGCGAGGTCCGGCGCGGCGCCGGAGGACGGCGCCTTGGCCCACTTGCGCGTGCAGTGGAGGTGGAACAGGCTGTAGCAGCTGTGGCATGTCCAGACGGCCGCGGATCGCCCCACAGGGTCGTAGCAGATCATGCACTCCACCTGCCCGCTGCGCAGCCGGCTTTCGATCTCCTGTAGCAGCTGCGGAACTTCTACTCCGTCTTTTCTGGCGCCACTCGCGGCGCCGATCGCGGCGGCTCTCGCGCCGCCGCCGCTCGTTACGGCTCGTTGGTCGGGAGTGGAGCTGCTAAAACCCAGAGTTTGC